AATGGAAAACATAACCTTCAAATGAATCAGGAAAAAGTGTTCTATGACTCAGAATGTATGTTGATGTGTGTGTGTGTGTGTGAGATTGAGGGAGAGAGAGAGAGAGAGAAATTCAAGAGTTGTGTGTTGTGAATGAGGAAGTACTGTCTGACGTAGGAGCAAGACAAGGACTTACGCTTAAGAGGGCAAAGGGAGAGAGAGCGTGGAGGCGGGTGACTGATAGAGAGTAAGTTAGGGTCAGGGCTTTAACTGAGAATATATATATATATATAACGAGTATAACAGGGACAAAACAGGGCGGGGACAAGGTGGGGGTAACGGTAAATTCATCCCCGCCTTCATCCTCACACGGGTTTATACGGGTATCCTCTTATACGTGCACCGTCCAATATGTATAGTTCATTCTCAATCTAAACCAGACGAGTTTAGACGAATACCCGTTTTTCTCCGGTCCACTAATATCTCTAATCTCCTACATTATGTGATACATGTCAACTTGTGAAGAATCACGGTTTGCCTTAATCTTGAAATGAACACAGATTGTCGAATGTTTTATATCTTATTCATTGCGATATCTGGGGTCCTTCCCCCGTAAAATCAAATTTGGGTTTTGCGTACTATGTTTTATTCATTAATGATTATTCTCATTTCACTTGGCTTTATCTATTGAAATTAAAATCTAACTTCTATGATACCTTCATTCATTTTCAAAAATTTGTGGAAAATCAACATTCTGCTCATATCAAAATTTTTCGAAGTGACGATGGTGCAGAAGTTACTAGCAACTGCTTTAAAGCTCATCTTCGTACCTCTGGCATTCATCATCAACTCTCTTGTCCATACACTCCCCCCCAAAATGGTCGCACAGAAAGAAAACACCGTCATGTGATTGAGACCAACTTGGCCCTGTTTTTTCATTCCCACACTTCCCCTTGCTTCTGGGTTGACGCCTTTAGCACTGCAGCTTTTATCACCAACCGTTTGCCCACACCACTTCTTGGAGGTAAGTCCACCTTTGAACTTCTATATGTTTCCTCTCCAAATTATGAAAATTTTCATCCATTTGGTTGTCGTGTTTATCCTTGTTTACGTGATTATATGCCTAACAAATTTTCCCCTTGTAGCATTGCTTGCATTTTTATGGGTTACAGCTTCTCTTACAAAGGGTTCCGTTGTCTTGACCCTACCACCTCTAGGCTATATATCACCCGTCATGCTCTATTTGATGAGACTCATTTTCCCTTCCTCAATACCTCCCAGGCTTAACCCGTATCCTCCCTCCAATTTTCAAACTTTCTAGAACCCAGTCTTTCCCTTATAGACATGCTACCATCTTCCCCTACGCCTCATTCCCGACATATTACACAATCTGGACCTAACCCGTGTGGTATTTGTACTAATATAGTGGATGAGCCTTTGCAGGCCAATGATTCTCTTACAGGTCCATCTCTGTCGCTCTCGGATCCTAGCCTCGTTTCTATTGAGCTCACCATTGAGCTGCCTACCCCTGCTCCTGTTGTGGCTATTCTGATGGCTTCTCATCTCATGCTTACACGAGCCAAAACTGGTATTTTTGAACCTCTCCACCCAATGAATCTTGCTCTCTTGTGGTCCTCCGGTCTCTCTCTGCTCTACTTGCATCCACTGAGCCCAAAGGATTCAAATCTGCTGCTAAAAATCCTACTTGGCTCGCCACTATGGATGAAGAAGTTCAAGCCCTGCAAACTAATCGTACTTGGATTTTGGTTCCTCGACTTGCTAACACCAACATTGTGGGTTCCAAATGGGTGTTGCGGACCAAATACTTGTTCGATGGATCTATCAAGCGTCTCAAAGCTCGCCTTGTTGCCAAAGGCTGTACACAAGTACCTGGTCTCGACTACAATGACATCTTTAGCCCTATTGAGTTAGACTACCACTTTCTTCGTGAAACTTATTGTTGCTGGCAAATTTCGCACCCAGTATGTGCTCTCTCACTTACAAGTTGCCGATATCTTCACCAAAAGTGTGCCTCGGCCTCTCTTCCAATTTTTTCGCTCCAAGCTCCACGTTTGTTCAAATCCGACGCTCAGCTTGTAGGGCGTGTAGAGGATCCTCTGTCTTAATCTAAGGCCTTCCATATGTGCATCCATTGATCCTCAATTATAGGAGCTTGTTTAGCTAATTCTTTCCTTTTATTATGTAATCAATATTTATATGTAAATCCTCAATTACGTTGTTATACAATCTGTAAATGAATATATATGTATATATATGAAAAGCTCTCACCACTCAAAAAGTGTGGTGGTTTTCAAACATTCTTAGAAAAGTTAACAAGCTTAGCTTGAAAAGCATACATACCAATAATACCAAACCATACATTTATTCAATGAGGGCGCGTGGAATTCAGAGAATGACAAGAGTTTCATCCTAGGGCTAAATCCACAGGAAAGGCCAAGGGAAATAGATAATGCAATCCATTTCATGACACTTTAAACAACATTTTCTTGGAATCAATCATTCACCAAAGCTGATGCATCACTTTTATTCAAAGTAAAGTTTTGATTTCTTGCAATAGGATATCGATTTGCCAAAAAGTATGTTGAGAGCTAAAATGCTTAATCTATTTATCAAGTTCATGAAATTACATCCTAATCACGTGATTCATTAAATTTAAATTTGATACAACTATAAATATCTGAACTCGGGACAAGTAGTTTCACTTCTCATCGCTAATTCGGCCATTAACTAATCTATATCGATAGAAAAAATTAGTTAATTAACCACTAATTTGTCCGTGGAAGACTTCTCTGCCGTGTCTTAATTTAAAGCTCAAGAGCAAAAAAAAAAAAAAAAAGGCTGGGTAGGGAGGGAACTGTTTCATAGTTGGTGACGTCTTAAAAAATATTACCCATTTATTCAGTTGATCCGTACGGTCATAATCTCCATCTAGATCCATCTAGAAGCTTTTGTGATGCAATAATATCTCTTTTGTGATGCAAAAAGGTATACCTAGAAGGAGTTCACTATATGTTTCCGGTACATGTGTGCCTGGATCGCAGTAAACAGACAAAAAAATAACAACCCAACTTTTAACTAGACATTTGAAGCTTATCGAATTGATCGCAAACAGATGAGTAAAACTTAAATAATTTAATATTTTATTTAATTTTGTATTCATCTCTCCCTAAATAGAGTCTGGGTTTATAATCATTGATTAAGTTATTTCGTGCATTTCAAGGATTGTAGGGTGAGCAACAATCATTCGCATCCGTGGCACACACTTAAATGTTTTCCAAGTAGTTCACTTTGAAGGGAAATTACAATCTTAAGGATACTTCAAGTAATAATAGAAATAAACATTAAAATCAAACGTTCTGAGTTTGAAAAATTTATTCTTTATGAATATTTTAATTCCGACGTGAATGATCTATCTTTGTTTAGACCGAAGAGAATATTAGTTAAAATACGCATAAACTGACTCAAAAATCTGTGATCATTAAATCAAAAAAAAGGGGGGGGGGGGGAAATTACAGAAAAAGAGACAAGACCAAAAACATTGCACTATCAACTCAACCATTTCTTGTTTTACTTGTATGATTTTAGTACATCGCAAGATCTTGAAGTCTCTCAATATCTTTTGAAAGCTTCATATTATGAATGGTTTAGGTCACATCATTACCTATATGTGGAATTATGTACATAAAATAATAAGTTTCACCAATTAAACAATGCCTTAACATTCTTAATATAGTCTTTAAACACAAACCAAGCCCACGTGTCCATGAGGTGACTCATCGCAGTCAAAACCTTTCAAATATTCTAATACCCCCATTACCCAAATTAGCATACCAGAAGCTTCTTTGTGCTTATAAAAAGAAGATCATCAGCAATTAATAATCTGTAAAGCATGCAACTAAGAATCACGTATAACAGCAGATGTTGCCCAACAATTGGAGCTTAAGACATTTTCTAAGAGACACCAACCCCCACTATGTTTATTTGCTTTGACAGAGATGATGGTTTCTATAATCTTATGATTAACAAATGTGGTTAGTTTCAATCATGTAATTGAGAAAAGAAACATTTGTGATCTAGATTTTACTTCTAATACACATTTTCAAGGGTTAATAGTATTTTTGGTCCCTAAAATATGTATATTTTATTTTTAAAGTATCAATTTTTTTAATTTGGTCCATAAAGTGTTCAATTTGTGTTTAAATAATCCTTATATAGACGGATGGTTAAGTTTGTGATGGAATGATTATATGTTGGGTATGTGATATCTTCTGAAAAAATGAAACGTGATTATTTTCGTCAAAAATTTTAACAAATTGTCTTATTAGGGACCAAAGTGACATAAATTGAAACTTTAAGAGTCAAATTGGTAAAATTAATATAATGATGACCAAACTAACAAATCGAGCATACTTTAGAGACTAAGATTTCTAATTATTTATTTTTTAATTTTTCTCGCTCATAAATTACAAATCATGTATTAACGAGAAATCCAGTTCATGTATTAATGAGAAATCCAGGTATCTATCCTGGATCACATTTAAATCTATAATGGGTGATCCAATATTGAGGGAAGGGTTATTTACTTACCAAAAAAAATAGAGAGAGAGAGAGAGACATGGGGGGTATTGGCAGGGATCCGAATCCGAATATTGGCAGTAAAGCTGTGTTATGGTGCCAAAGATTTAGACATCGATCTGGTGAGTATTGATTGGTGAAAGTCACGGCGGAAAGCACTATGTAGTGACACTTGCTCACAACTCATAGGTTTTCAAGGATTAATTTCAGCATATAGAGCCATAGCTATGTTTGTTTTCAAAGATTTAGTGCTAATGAGATAAGCATAGTGTTTGAAAAGGACACTGAAATGACATATTAAGGTGGGTATATAAGGGAAGCCATAGAGTATGTACGTGTAACACAAATTGGAGACAACATAAGATAGAGAGAGAGAGAGAGAATATTACAAGACGACCAAAAAAAGAAGAGTGAAAGAGCACTAAATGGTTGACGTGATGGGTTGGGGAATTCCTGAGCAAGGGTGGAGGAAGGGTCCTTGGACTCCTGAGGAAGATAAATTGCTTACTGAATATGTTAGATTGCATGGGGAGGGAAGATGGAGTTCTGTTGCTAGATATGCAGGTAATATAGAAGTTCTCTCTCCTCTTGGGTGGAAAAAATTAGTATTGTTCTTTATTTCTTTCTCTAAAAATCTCATAGACATGTATTGATTTATAAGAAGAAAAAGGTTAAATTGCTATAGAGATTAAGATTATCCTTATATAACTTTTTATGTGTGGTGTTTCAGGACTTAATAGAAGTGGGAAGAGTTGCAGGTTAAGGTGGGTGAACTACCTTAGGCCTGGTCTTAAAAGAAGCCAATTAACACCTCAGGAGGAAGGCATCATCATTGAACTACATGCTTTGTGGGGCAACAAGTACTCTCTCTCTCTCTCTCTCTATCTATCTATGTATTCATGTTCTTATTGCATCTTTATTTTTGTATGTGTGCCTGAGGTAGATGGTCCACTATTGCTCGATACTTGCCTGGAAGAACAGACAATGAAATCAAAAACTATTGGAGAACTCATTTCAAGAAGAAAGGAAAGCCCTTAGCTGAAAAGCGAAAAGCAGCTCAAAATCTAGTGCAAAAACAAGAGAAAGAGATGAGCAATGTCTCTCTCACACCTCGTGAAGAATTGCAATACAACAACATGAACGAACAAGGACCACCACGAGCCGAGCAAGCAATGGCTATCACGTATCCAACCATGGAGGACCATTTCTTGTCATTAACGTATCAAGAAGATGCTTCATCTTTGCAAGACACCATACTGGTAGATGGCTTATGGGGGAGTGGTCTATGGAGCCTAGACGAGCCACACGGCCGCACTGGGCCCTCGAGTGATTATAAAACAGCGATCCAAAACCAAGGCATAGCTTATTCTGGTGGAGTTGATGACACAATTAACTTCTACAATGGAGGATATGTATTCTGAGATGCGCATGACTCAAATTCAATACAAGGGAAATATATATGAGCGGTTTCAAAGTAGTTCGATCTAGCTTGCTTACATGTTGTAACATTATTGAGATTGCCAATTTTCATCATTAACGGTGGCCGGTCTTGTTTAAACCGCCGGATGCTTGTATTGAAAGCGGCTCGGTAATGGTTTCTGAGTCGTGTTTTTTTCTTATATCATCTACCCTTCAATGAATAAAACTGAACTTGGATACCTCTGTGTGTGTGTGTGTGTACATAGAGGTATGTATCAGCAAACCCAACTTTGTGGAGCACGGGAAGTAACAAAAAGAACATTTCAATATTATTCTTCAATTGGAGAAACGTTGGAAAAAAAAAAAACTTGAAAAGAGAGAGAAGCTGTTCCAGAAAGCCCCGAGAAAGGTTCAAAAAGAAACACAAAAATTGGCCCATGCAGGTCTCGAACCTGCGACCTTCGCGTTATTAGCACGACGCTCTAACCAGCTGAGCTAATAGGCCTATGTGCTAATTTAACACCATATAATTAATTTATCATTACTTATTTGAGAGGAGAGCTGTCAGTAAGCTAACCGACAGTCTATGGTGCGGGCTCTCTGCTTCTCTGTGCCACCATTTCTGCCTCGATTGCTTTCCGTGGAATTTATGAAACCAAACCTCTTCATTCTCAGTGCTTGCTGTCTTTCTCGGATTTTGCTTTGATTTCTTGTCTGACATAAACAAAAACATAGAAATTGTCGGACATTGAAATCAATGATATATTTTTGAATATGAATCTGTCTTTACATTACATTTTTTCTTCAAAGAAATATTAGCCGTTTGAAAGACACAAAAATAGCAGGGTTCGAAACACACACGAGTAGTTCATTAGTGTGGTATTAGACATCGGATGTCTTAGATTTGATCATATCTTGTGACTCCTCAACTTATTTGATATTTATTTAGGTTCAATAGAGATTTCACATTAAAAAATAAAAAATGTGGTGGATTTGGAATAACTATAGTCCATTGTTACAAGGATTCTTTGGAGGCCCGTTTCTTTTTGTAAAATTATTTGGACTTAAATACATATAAAAAACTTGTTGGAGAATAAATTTATTTTGATTTTATTTGTTTAAAATATCCTCAATAGTTATATTTAATTAAAATTTGTTTGAACAAACTAACAACTCTTAAATTGAGAATTTTATTAGTATTAACAACTCTTAACTTGAAAATTGTGCTAACATTAAAATTATGTTTCTATATATATAAAGAGAGAGAGAGAGTAATACTCGCAAAACAGAATAAATACTCACATGCAATGATTAAATTTTTAATTAAGTTTTTTATTGAATATATTACTGTTTAATGTTATTATTTTTTGTTGAATATATCATTGTTTGATGTTACTGTTTTTTTGTTGAACGTGTTACTGATTAATGTTACTATATATATATATATATGATAGAATAATAATTTTAATGTTAGCACAAGTTTCAAGTTATGAGTTGTTACATTTAAAAACATTGAAATTAATAATGATAGACAATATTTATAGTAAGAGTAATTATAGAATTACATTTTAAAAAAAATTAAAATATTTTAAAATATGTTCTTATCGATAACTATTTTAAGAAAAAAAAGATTTAAAAGAGTATAAGTTTAAAGATAATATTTAAAACCAAATAAATTTTAAAAAAGACCGCCACATTCAATTTTCCGTTGTTACAAGAGTGGTGGATTTGGAAGTGCTTTTTAGATTTTTATTATAATTTTGATGAAGGTGGTGGTAACTGGGCTTCAGTTCAGCCCATGGTACTTTTACGGATTTATTGATGACAGGCACTGCACTCAACCTCTATGGGCTTTGACCCATAAAATTATGACCTCAAACCCCGTTAGGGTTGCCTTCCTACCAATTGAACTAGCACATAGCAAATGTGACCTACTGGCCCATGATCCTCTGTGTTTTTGAAGACTATGTATTATCCAGCTGCAGTTTGAACAATAATTCATTTCTCTCACCAAAGCGGCCCTTAAATCAGATGATTTTTAGCCCGTCCTTGACTCGTAAGAGAATTATAACATAGTCCAAGCTTTACAGATGAAAATTACGAAACGATTAAGCTTTAAGGCAATGAATTATGCAAGACCAAGTCTTTGGATTATTGGAATTACTACGAGTAGTTTAGAATAAGTCATTAAAGTTTGAATCAACAATTCTTAGTAGGCAATTGGGTCATGCCTTCTAAGAATAAATTCATGTGGTCTAGAGTAGACAAACTTAGATAGCCAGAATTCCCAGATGACTAGGTTGTTGCTGTAAATTGCAAATGGGTCGGCCCAACCAAGAATGGCAAGGCAGTCTTTGGAAATTTTTTTGGGTCAATTCATGGTTGGGCCGAGTTAAACATAAAAAAGTGCTTCACAAAAATGACTTCAAAATATACAACCACTCTTTCTCTCTCTCTTTCACACACACACACACACACACACACACACATGTATATATATATATATATATGGCAACCAACTAGGTGGACAGGAGGTGGCAGACACAAGGGTTTATCAAAAAAGATAGTCATGAGTCATGAGGAAGACCCACATCATGGTAAAGAAAAGACACCATTCTTAGTAAAAAAAACAATAGGGTCCGGATTGTTCAACAACATTGTCAACCCCAAAATAATGTAAAATTGCATCCATCACACTGCTACTACTATCCACAAAGCAAGACATATTGCTGCCATAATTAGAGCACCTTTCAAGTGCCCGATTTGGCCCATCAGAGAGTGGAGAGAGAGAGAGAGAAAGAACAAGAGAATATGCTTTAATGGTGGGGTGTCTTTCTATCTGTCGCAAAATTATTGTGAGGCTGCGTTGCACATTTCGGTTGACTTTTCCAATCCAAGTCTTTGTTTAGTACTACTTTTCATACCATATATCAATTTTATCTAATAAAAAATTGACAAGTTTCTTTCTCATATTTACAATAAATGACTATAAATTAATAAAAATATATAACTCTCAATTCATTTCGATGTGCTGCACACAATTTTTTTCTTTTTTCTTTTTTCTTTTTATTCTCGTAACATGTGAGACTTGTGATATGATTCAACATCTAAATAGCCATCCTATATACTCTTGTTAGGATAAAAAATTGTAGTAATCATGTGTTCTATTGGAGCCATGTTATCGGAGTTATTATGATGATCCGTTTAGAATTGTTTTGCTTGTCAATTATTGTACACAAAGCCTATGTGAGCATGCCCGAGTAATGTGATTCTACTTTGAGAGAGGGTGATACCCCTTTAATTCTTTTTTTTTTCCCCTTAAAGGATAGATCTTCACAATATATGATTTGGAGACGACTCACTTATAATAGTGAATCCTACATGAAAAGATTATTTACCCTTCTAAGAACATGAGAATCACTTTGAACGTTCAAGCTGTATATCATTGTTGAGAATCAAATACAATGCGAAGTCCTAAAATTAAAAACATACATTGTTCATAGATGGGATAAATGGGTGGGTCGGGTTGGTTATGTGTTAGATTAAATTAGACTGGGTTAAAATAAATAAGTCGAATTTATTTTTCACTCACATTGATATACCAAAACATATACACTCACACTAATATACTAAAAATACACACACACTAATACACCAAAAATAAATACAAATATACTAACACACAAAAACTAAAACACATTTAATAAAAAATAAAATAAACACACATAATGGGTCTAGTCGGTTGTGGGCCATGGGTTGGTCCACGGTTCATGGGTCACGATTGACCCATGGTCATAAGGTCATGTGTTTGACCCATGGGTCATGGGGGGGTCTCCTTGTGGGTCATGGTCATGGGTCATGACGGATGTATTAGTGTGTGTGTGTCTTTTTGTGTGCTATTGTGTGTGTATTTTTAGTGTGCTAGTGTTGTAATGGCCAAAGACCATCTTGGACGGCATTACAATCTATCAATCATTTACATCATGAGAGAACAAATATGATCCATAAATAAATAAGACTTTATTTTTAATTCATAAAATTCATAACATTATCCAAAAGAATATGTCTAATCATGTCATTTACATCCAAAAATTTGACTATCATAGCGCAACGGAATAACAAAAGAAAAATTAGACTTCACAATGTTCAAAATAAATATCTTAGTCTAAAACAAAAGAAAATGTCACTCTAAGTGTCCACCTCCGGATTCACGCACCTGTCTGTCGAAGTCTCCTAGTGTTCCAGTTCATCAACTCTTAACTCCTCCTCCAGTACATAATATGAAAAATATAGTTTGAAGGGAGTGAACATTAAGCTCTGTAGCAACATTCCTCCCAAACTCGAACAAGATTTAAAAAAACATATAAAATGGTCGGTCTCATTTTACAAATAACATATATAAATTTTGAAGAAAACAGGGACCTTTGAAACAGATCTCAAGTTTAAATGACAACAATAATTTAATGAATAAAAGAACTCAATATACAATTAATAATCAATTTCATCATAAATCGTTTCTCACAAGTTCTTGCGGAATCTCATACTTCCCAAGATTCTTGTAGAAACTATTTCTGATAGAATAAAGAATAACTCATAACTTGAACATTTTACGACAATATATACATATATCTCAACCATGATGTACGGCATCCACATGAGTCAACACATTGAGTAACATCTAGCCTACACACACACACACCCAAATCTTCTCAAAGATATCCAACTTTTAGGAATGACGTATATCATACCAATGGCAGTGACATATCCAACACAAGCATTAATATATTAACCCTTCGCCTCGATACCCGTGAGTAATAGCGGTTTAGTCTTACCAAAACACTAACCCCATTACGAGTGGTCGAAAAAGTTCAAACCCACACGGAGTATGAATAATGTCTACCCATTCTACGATATCTCATCAATGGTCACCCAAGGTCATCCCACACTCATGAGAGATACAATACCAAACTTAATTTCTCAATTTACTAGCATATCTTAAAAA